CTTGTTTCATTTTATTAAACGTTTTACATGGTGTTTCTGACCCATTGGCTGATCTTCCCTCAGCTCACTGTGGCACAAGTGCTTGTCACGTACTTGGAAGATGCCAGCTTGGCAGGATGTTTGGCACCTGAGAGAAAGAATTGCTCATCCAGAGAAAGCTGGTGGAAAAGGCTTTCCTTTTGTTCCTGTGCCACCTGGAAAGGTTGCCCAGCAAGCTTCCCTGAAGGGCACATTGTTCTGGAGCCTAGGTACAGCTCTTCTTCGCTTCTGTCAGAAACAGTAAGATGAAGGTAGTTATGTTCTGAAACAAGTTGCAGCATGACACCATGTACCAGCAGCTGTATACATGAATGAAGGGAAGGAAAGGGAGTTTTGTTACAATGAGACAAAGGTTCATTTGGGAATCTCATTTTTCATTAGGGTAATTATTGTGAAGTCTGAGTTTAATTTCTGGTTGCACTTTTTTTTACTTGAATTGAGTAATTTCAATTTCCTGAACCACAAAAGATTAATAGCTTCAAAAATTATGATTTTTTTTTCTCTGTAGAGTGAAAAAGTATAATTAAAAATAAGATATACAGTAGAATTAAATTTTCAAACTGCAGTTTGGAAGTTTTTCACAGAATACAAAGCATAAAGGAAGCATAGAGTATTGTTTCATGCTGTTCTGCAGATATATGCAAACCATACTTGCTTTGTGAAATCAAAATTTGTCTTAAATCTTGCTTTCATACTGGGAACAAGGATGTCTCACTCCACATCTCCAGTTCAGTTATGATGAGTGGAGTAGTCCAAATAAGTGGAGGGTGTTCTGTTATTCTTAGCACAGAAAACATGATTACATGAAATCTCATTTGTTATCATGAGAGGACTAGAAAAGAGATTTCTAATGTTTCTGCATGTTAACTTTTATGCTGTTACCAGAGCTCAGGTTGGGAGAAGCGAGATCATGGAAATAAAGTCTACTCTTGCAGAACTGTCCTTGACAGCAAAAGGTGATCCATCCCTGAAAATACACCAGCAATATCAGAGGATAAAAGCAGTTCTGGAGCATCCTGCAATGTACATGCCATTCTTTCCCTAGGAGCTATTGAGCAAGCCTAGATACAACTGAAGACCTAACTCTATAGAATGGGAATATCCAACTCCAATACAAAGCTCGCCCTGCTCAGCTTGTTCAAATAAATTACACTGACCTGCTCTGAATAGATCCTCTAGACCAGTAGCGTTTTCGTCTGGTGTAGTGCCTGTTCCTTCCACCACTCTGCCTCAGTATGGAGAGGAAAAATTCCCCAAAAGTTGTTTAGACTGGTGCAGTTGGGCTGTCTTTTCCTCCCCGTTGTCCCCAGGTGCTGGGGATGCTGAGGCAAGGGGGAGAACGACAGGCTCTCCAGGCCTTTCTGTTGTAGACCACTTTGGTTTCAAATCCTGCAGCCTATATGGCACAGCCTGATCCTTCATTAGTTCTTCAGCTCTTGTTTCCATGTTTGCTACCTCACAAATCTATTGCTTGAGTCAACAGGCAGTGAGGAATTTGTATCCGTACATCCTTTGTCCAAAGTTTTCAGGAAAATAATTGCTTTTTCTATCTGCAGCCTGGGGTGATGGTAAAGTTTGGTCCAGGTGCTCTCAGTTTGATGTTCCCTGCTGCTGATGTGAGTGAACTTTAATACCGTGTGGATTCTTATCACCCTAATCCTGACACATTGTGTGTACAAGCAGTGTAAAATTACCAACTCTCTTTCCCTGGAAATCAGAGACCCTGTGCACAGTTCCTCCCTACCCAGAATCTTCCTACACTTCAGACATAACATTTTCCTCCAGTAGCTCTCAGCCACTCCAGCGAGACTCCTATGTAGCTCTGTAGTTGATTTATGCACATTTAAGTCCCCTGTGCATTCACTCCCTTTCCCCTCTGCACATTTGCAGTTGAAATGCCTCCTGTACCTTCCGAGGTAACTGTACCTGTGGATCAGTGTGCCCAGACACCCAGCACCGGTGAAGAAGAGTGTAGGGAACTGAGAAACTTGTTTGATGTGGTTAGCTCTAGTGTTGTCCTAAGTATTGAAGGACGAGGCAACACTAACAAAACAAGGAGGTTTTTGGTTACCGGAGCTGCATGAAAAGTTGGCAAAAAGCTCCAAAGGAAGGGCTATCAGAGCACCAACTGCAGCCTTCTTAAATGCTCCAGGCTGTTTGTGCTTACCACGGAGCTTGTTTTCACTTAGCTGTCAGATGAGTTGGCCTGCTCTGAGTACAAGTGACTGGAACATGAGAAAACTTGGCTGCAAAAATGCAGGGCGGTAAACAGCAAAGTAGTTGTTGAAACTTGAATCACTGTGTATACCAGTATAGCCACTGGTATACCAACATACCACTGTATCCTAAAATAACAGCAGCATTCGGAACGCAGCCCTTTTCTCCATCCATGAAAAAGCCAGGTCCACCTTCAGTGTTATCCCAAATTCAGTTTGTTGCGTGGGCAAGTGAGAGGTCTGAGTAAAACACAACCAAGCTAAAGATGAAGCAAAGGCAAATGTTAACTCTTCACTTTCCACAGCTAATTCCTAAGCTTTTCTCAGGTGAAACATAAACTCCCAATTGCCTAGCCTCTGGTTGCTCTCTGGATAATCCGAACCAGTTTCCTACAGACTGACTTAAGCATCAGTCCCTGCCGCTCACAAAAACATACTGGGGCTGATGCAAAACTAGTTGGAATTTGTTGTTGCGAACTTCCATTTAGTTACGTTGTGCCCCGACCTTGCTGGTGCTGATAGCTGTTGCGCAGATCCTGGACTGACCCCCTCGGTCTTCTCTTTCTAGCAGTGGTTGTTTCTCAAGTTCTGATGTTATTGTTCCTTATTGTTATATTATTGCTATTTATTTTAAAAGCTCTGAGCTGATTCCTGCCGAAGACAGCAAATTTAACTATTATCTTCACAAGGAAAGTACGGGAATACGTTGATACTGTCCCAGTGTACCGTATCAACTCTGCTAGTTCAGCCCACTTGCTTCCCCTCCTTGTTACGTAGTGGCGTGGCCTGACAGCTACTGGTTTTCCAAGAAGCACGTGCTTGTCATAAATTCTCCCTGTGCTTCCTGTTTTGTGGTTTGGAGGGTTTGTTTTTTTGGTGGTTTTGTTGAGTTTTTTTTAATCCCTTATCTCAACTTGAACGAAAGCTGTTGCTAAAATTCTGGGAGATGGACTGAGTGTGCACGTGCACATACAGAGAAGGCAAGTGTAAGATGACATTTGGCTTTTCTCACCCACTGAAATCACTACAACCTGAGCATGAAGAATTTTAAAGGAAAAATCTTATCTTGAATACAGCTGCTTATCTTTGCTCTTTCTTCCTTAAAGCACAATGTGTATTTGTCTATTATTGCTATGGTGACATCCAGTCACAGCTTGGTGAGGGAGGCAGTGACGGTGCAAACACAAAATATCATGTCATGTGCATGACTTGCTGTTAGATGTGACCTTGCCTAGTTTGGAAAATGATAGTTTTTCTAACAATTGCTCCAATGAAACAGATGGAAAATGGAAATACAGAATTTAAAAAACCAAACCAACCAAACAAAAACCCCCAAAGCCCCAGAAAAACAAACAAACATCAAGCCAATTTACTGAGTTAGTCTTATTCTATTTCTGTAACACTTGATACTGGCTTACAGTGGGCAACCAGAAACTTCTGGTTCCCTGCCTAACTGCTGTAAATCGTATTTGTAATGATATCCAAGAATCTCTCCAAGAATGCTCTCTTCGTGCCAGCTTCTGGCTGCATCACATCTTTTGGCACTAAGGTAGCAGGTCTTGCTATAGAAATGTGCCAGACAACACAGAAGAGGGAGTCTAGACTTCAGCTGTAGACAGCTGGTAAAGCAGACAAATACCTATAAATTAGCGGGAAGCAGGGAGGTTGTGGCAGCATCTCTGGACCATATGAAGTTGCTCTCGGCGCTTACCCAGGCAGGACACCTGCTCTGTGCCTACGCTGCGTCCCGCTGGTCGCCTTCAGCCACGTAGGTGTTGCGTGGGGTATCTCTGGACACTACACCCACTCCACAGGCCCTTAGCTACTTCTAGGGGGTCTTCGTAAGTCGTCCTCAACTTGTGCTCCTTCCGATTTCATTGACCCAGCCTGTAGTTAGAACCCTGCCCCTTTAGGGAAAAACTCCAGCTAAAAATATCCCTAATCAGGAGGGAACGACTGCTAGTCCGTCTGCCTGGCCTTCTGTCCCATCCAGCTTTTGTTCCACTTCCTTGGGGTTAGGGAAGATGTGAAGGCCTTTTCTGAGAGGTCTTTGAAGCAAGCAGACTTGTGTAGCAGACTGGGGAAGAGAAAGGGGGGTAGGGGTGCTGCTGCATCATGAGGAAATGTTTTATATATCCAGTAAGAGCCACCCTTCACCATAGGATCGCCTTGATCTTTGTGAGGAGTTGCGCTGCAAAGGCACGTTAAGGCCTGTTTGGCCCCAAAATTTCCTTCCTGGCACTCCCGACTATACACCAAGGCCAAAACAGTGCAAATTGGTCCCAAGGGCAGTGGTGGGGATCCAGTATCGGGAGTATATAGATGCCAGCACCAGATATAGGAGGGAAAAAGAGAAAACCAGTTTGTGGGCTTGAGCTAAGGGGAGCTGGAAATAAACTGAAAAGCCAGAGGGAAGAACGTAGCATAGGAGATTGTGCAGGCTGAGGAGAGATTAACGGGTGTTAGAAAAAAGCAAACAGCATGAGAGAATTCAGATGGAAGCTGAGATGAGCAGCAGGGAATGTTTTTAGTAAGGAGCATGAGGAAGTTGAACACAGATGGCAAGGTAAGAATAGGCAGCCAGACTTGAGAAGATATAAGGGCAGGACGGAGAGAAACATTAAAATCCAGAAATGGAAAGGTGAAAATTATATGAACAAATATCTGAAATAATACTAATTTCCAAATCAGAAATCATGTTTTTTTTCATCTTGATGTTAGAAAACCATACATAAACTAAGCAAGGGCAGTGTAAGAATAATTTTATTCAGTATTTTGGTAACACAATACATCTCAAAATGACCATAAAAGTTAGCTTGCTGAACAACTGCGTGTGCATACATTCTAAATGGGTGCTACTAAATTTGAATAACTTCACCAATTATATGAGGCGTTACCTGACCAACAGCTATATAGTGTGTGACCCCCTGACAGACGTGAGCAGTGTGAATGGACGTTGCATTAGTAGCCAATGCACAGTTAAAGCTTTTGAGAGTACAAAATTGCAAAAGCCATTTTTATTAAAATATGAATTGGTGATCCTGTGTTAGAATAACTATTCAGTTGTAGGTTACATCCTCTATATTTTTTTTAATAACAATACTTACAAGGTACAAGGAAAATTGTTTTGGCTGGCACTTGATCTAATGTAGATCTCCATATGAAAATGCGGAGTATCTTATAAAGCTTTTCACAGGTATAGGCTAAGTTCTGGGATATTACAAACTTGCACATAATTTAGAAAAACACCTGAGGTTACTCCTTGTGTATGTAACAGAAAGCTTTTTAGCTAAAAAAAAAAAAAAAAAATAGATGCCATATGAAGTCAGAGACTTTAAACAGGTACTTTACTACTGCGTGGGGTTACAGAGCAGTACTTACAGGCTCCATTAAGGTTTTTAAAATCAGTAGCAAAGCTTCTATTTAAGAAGATCAGGATTGTGTCATTAACCCAGCTCTTCCCAATGTCAGTATGAGTTCTGTCACTGCTGCCGACGTGACTAAGACTGGCCACCTCTCAGAAGATCCAGTGCAAATCTTTACTTGCTTAGGTCTCAGCAGAGCTGCTTTACTGTCTAGCATTGCACCCTTATTTTTCTAGCTCTACTAATACCTTATTTACTACTAGGCTGAACACAGCAAGTCATGTGAGGTACTCTCATTTCTGACAGATTTCATATGTAATTGAACGTGATCTGCAGCTCCAAAGAAGCACCCAAAGCTTTTCAAAATCAGGCATTTGCATAGAGTTGTCTGCTCTTTAGAGAAATACACACAGCTTTGTGCACACTAACATTAGCCAGAGGTTTGAGGCCATAAAGTTTCATGTGTGTGTTTTACTTTAATAGTTTTTGTTGTTTGGGGGTTTCAAAATTGTCTTTTGCCTCACAAAAATTTTAAGAACACCTTTTCTTCAGTTGATGGGTATATTAATTAGGACATGTGATGTTAGTTTTCCTTCTGAGATTTTGTTTCAAGCAAATCACAGTGAAAGTACATAGTTGATTTCTGGATATACCATTTAACTCAACCTAACGGAGTGACTAGTGAGAAGGGGTATACTTGCTGTATGCTTTACCTGAGGATTGTGGCATGAAAAGTTTTACATTAAAACCCCCAAATTCTTGCTGGTAAATACCTCTGCCCATGTGGATTTTACTGGACTCACCTATGTGCCTAGGGACAGAGATATTAACTCTTTACTAGAGTAATACAAAGTTCAGCTATACATTTATAAAACTTTCTAATTCAGGTATCTATTTTGTTCATGAATATGCTAATGAACATATTAGCCTATGGTTTGTATCACCCTCGCCCTTTGGTGACATATCAAATCTGATCTTTCAAAACTTAATGAAAAGTTACTATATTAGGGCATTCCGTTCATTCTCAAATAAAACACAAATTTTATTTTGAAATGCGCTTTTAGTCTTTTCAGTCATTTATGCAAACACTTTGGAGTGCTAAAGACTTTATGTTGTCATTCTACCAAAAATCCTTTGAACATTTATTATTGAGGCATTAACGTACATCCCAGCAGTTGCAACACAGGAGCTGCCATGTGCCTATGGCAGTTTCCAGTAGAGTGAATTCAGAGGCAGGCTGCAGTGTTCTGAGCAATTTTTTTTTTTTTTTAATTTTTTAAAATAAGAGATTTCACTTTGGGATGTGGAGTCACTGAAGGCAAACTTACGAGTTAAGGCATAGCACATAGAGACATGGAAAGAATTGTACAAACAGTTCCTGGAGATGCTCCAACCAGTCTGTAGATAAAAAATGCTTGACAATAGCAACTTCTGTGACCAAGCTAGAAAAGAGGAGGCTCATTTTCAAATTGTGTGTTTTATCATTTAATATATTAAACTGTTCTCCTGGCTCCCCTAGAATTAAAATGAGGACTGAACTATACCTTATGCAGTTTTCCTTCCTGCTCTTGTAACCTGTAATATTGGCTGTTTTCCAGACAGATCACCAGAACAAACTATAACTTAAGTCTAAAAAGAGAGGGATTATCTTCAGATGCAAGGTTTCTTGCTTAGGCATTTGCTGACAGCTGATTATCACTGGCTGCTTTCTCTGCTTGCAGTCTTTGGACAGCCTGATCGAGCAAATCCATAGTATCTCTGAGTGTAACATTCAAGGTAAAAGGCTTAGGTTTAATGGTCAGCCCATAGGTAAAGTCCATTTTAGGGTCCTCGTTTGGATTAGCAGTAAAATTGCACTGATGTACTAGTATGGAGGTAAAGAGAAACAGCTGCACCTTGGATAACTCCTCTCCAATACACCGACGTTTTCCCAATGAGAAAATCATCACGCTACTAGTAAGATCTTTATTGATAAATCCATTCTCATCCAGGAATCTCGTTGGATCAAAATCCTCTGGGTTGGACCATTTTGCTGGATCATGATTCACTGACCACTGATTAACAAAAATCACAGTGTCCTTGGGAATGAGGTAGCCCATTATGAAGGTGTTGGTTGTGGTGGCGTGTGGGATAGTAACAGGCACGAAGCTGCTGAAACGCATGGATTCGTACAAGAAAGCCATGATGTAGGGCAGGTGAGGCTGATCTTCAGCACATGGCAGGCGGTCTCTTCCAACAATCCTATCCACTTCTTCTTGCATTTTAGCCTGCACATTCGGATACCTGTCATTTAAAGTAAGATGTGTGTACGTATGTAATACTTTAAAAAGATATTCTTAAAAATAATCCTTGCCGTAAACATTTTTCACAAAACCTCACCCCTACCCAAAATAATGCAGTTGGAGCAAAGTTTAAATATATTGCAGGAACATGTAGACCTTGCTGGAAAACTCTGAGAGAAAAATCCAAGCTTCCCATGCAATGGTGTCACTTTAGATTTGTTCAGTTTTCACTTTTGTATCACGTATAACTGATTCTCGACATAAAAACCGAAACTAACCTAAAATGGGCTGAAACGGAATATTCTGATCAAATTCTGAAAATTCATTCCGAAACTAAAGTTACTTCCAAATATTGGGCTTTCCATGGGAACAAGAATTTGGTTTTCCAGCTCTTTGTGACTTCTAAAAGTGAGCATGGAATTTGTTATCACTAGACACTGCATACATGTGAAAGTCTGCAGGTTTTTAAACTGAAAAGAACCCTGCTAATAGTTGTCAGAATAGCTTTATGAACATCCCACTTTTAGTTTGTGTACACTTTTTCTAATTAATATCAAAATACATTTTCTTTATAATGTATTTTGACTGTCTCAAAGTCTGGATAGTTTGGAAGACTACAAAGTAACCAACCAAGATCAAAGTATTAATACATTTTGCTTATTTTATTTTGCTTGTCTAAAAGCACGTGTTCCTCCAATGAGCCTTTATTTGCTCTAAATATTCAAATTTGGCTTCCATGGCCTTGCCTTTTCCTCCTGCAACTGATCTGCATGCCGAACGCTGAGCAAATGTAAGAAACAGGGAGAAACCCAACAGGTTATGTGAGCGCTGGGCATCATACCCATAGCTCAAGGCGTGAAATATTTGCCTGTCTTACAAGAAGCGGCTGCATATATAATGTTTGCATAAACCTACAAATTATGCAGATGATGAGAGGGGGGAAAACAGCCAGGACGGGCAGGAACATCAGCCTCCTACTGCCATACCACCTCGCCGAGCCGCGCTTCCCCCCGCGGGGCCGGCCCTGCCTTTCCCCACGTCACGCAGTGGCGAGAAAGGTACACGCTGCCGGCACACGAACGGAGCAGCGGGTTCGTGAACCGGCGCACAAGTCCTTTCTCCTGCTTCAGCCGTTGTTACGCTGACCCTGTGATCTCCTTGATCCTGACCTGGTGCCATCTATTACTTTCGGATTTAATTCGGCTGCCCCTCTGCCAGCCCCTCTTTAGGCACCGCTATCGGACCGCCAGTGTAGGGTGGGGTTTGGTTTTCTGTTGTGGGGCTGTCGGGGGTTTTTGTGCTTTCTTACCTTTTCCTGTCAGCTTTCCCTGAGCCGCCGTGTTCGTGAGAGGCACTCAGCCCCTCGCCGCCCCCTCAGCCCCTCGCCGCCCCCTCAGCCCCTCGCCGCTCCCTCAGCCCCTCGCCGCTCCCTCAGCCCCCCGCCGCCCCCTCTGCCCCTCGCCAGCCCCTCGCCGCCCCCTCTGCCCCTCGCCGCCCCCTCTGCCCCTCGCCGCTCCCTCAGCCCCTCGCCGCTCCCTCAGCCCCTCGCCGCCCCCTCTGCCCCTCGCCGCTCCCTCAGCCCCTCGCCGCTCCCTCAGCCCCTCGCCGCTCCCTCAGCCCCTCGCCAGCCCCTCGCCGCCCCCTCAGCCCCTCGCCGCCCCCTCTGCCCCTCGCCGCCATTCCCGCGGCTCTACCCCGGCCCGAGCGGGCTGCGCGCTCGCCGGGGTCGGCTGTCACCGCCGAGGGCGGCTCCCCGGCGGCGGCTCTGCCGGCGGGCAGCGCCCTTCCAACGGGACTGACGGCCGCGTCCCTCCCCGGGGCCGGCGGGGCGCCCCGGCCTCCCGCCCCGCCCCGCCGGCACGTACCTGATGAGGAAGATAAGGAGCCACTGCAGGGCGGTGGAGAGGGTGTCCTGGCTGGCGCCGAAGATGTCGGTGACGGTGGCGGGCACGTGCTCGAGCTGCAGCCGCGGCTGCTCCCGCTGCAGGCGGATGAAGGCGTCCATCATGTCGCGTGGGGCGGCCCCCGGGCGCAGGCTGCGCTGGTGCTGCAGGAACTTGCCGCGGACGAAGCCGTAGAAGTCGCGGTTGAGGTCGCGGAAGGCGCGGTAGGCGGCACGCACGGGGCTGGGGAAGCGGCGGAGCCAGGGCAGCGCGTCCACCAGGCTGCCGGCGCCCACCGCCCGCCCGAACTGCTCGTTGCGCCCCACCAGGCGCAGGAACTCTCCGTCGCCGTGGCTGTAGCGGCGGCCGAAGCACAGGGCGCTCATCACGTTGGCCACGGCCACCACCAGGACGCGGGAGGGATCGAGGAAGGCGCCGCCGGCGCTGCCCCGCACCAGCAGCGCCACCAGCGCCCGGGCTTCGCCCACCAGGTGCCGCTCGAGCAGGCGGCGGGTGGCGGGGCTGCCGGTGGAGAAGGCCCGCACCGTGGCGTGGGCCGCCCGCCGGTGCAGCTTCCAGAGCTCGGAGTAGCCGCCGAAGGCCAGGCTGCGGCCGCCCGACACCAGGCGGAAGGAGGGGAAGGGCGGGCGGCCGGCGAAGGCCGCCCCCTGGCGGACGAGCGCCTGGCGGATGGCGCGCTCCCCGTTCAGCACCACGACGGGCCAGCGGCCCAGGCGGAGCTGGAAGATGGCGCCGTAGGTGCTGGCCAGCCGGGCGAAGGAGAGGTGCGGGGCGCTGCCCAGCTGAGCCGCGTTGCCGATGAGGGGCCAAGGGAATGGGCCCGGCGGAGCCCGGCGCTGGCCCAGCCGCCGGCGCCGCCGCCGCTGCAGAAGGAGTTTGCCCAGGTGGACGGCGGCGAGCAGGGCGAGGAGGAGCAGCAGCCAGCTTTGCGAGGCGGGGATGCCGCGCAGGGCTTCGCCCAGCCGCTCCAGGGCCATGCTGCAAGGGACGGGGAGAGGTCAGCGGGCGGCGGTCGGGCGGCGGGAAGGGCTGGGGCGCTGCCCCTCGCCCGCCGGCGGGGAGGAGAAGCCCCGCTGGCAGCCGCTTCGGCCCGCCGGGTCGGGGTGCGCCTTGGCTCGGCGCTCCTCGCACCCCTGTGGCCCGCCCCGGCTCCTGCGCGGAAAGCGAGCGGTAACCGACAGCCGAGCGGCAAGCGCTCAATCGGGGGAGCGAGACCGTGGGTTTTTTTGGCGGCGGGGCAGGTTCATCCCGGCGCTGCACGTCAGGCGAAAAGAGCCGCGGCGGGAAACGGGCTCCCCACGCCGCCGTCGGAGCTTTCCCCCCCGCCCTGCGCCGGAGAGGAAACCTCCGCACACGGCCGCGGAGCCCCGTCCGTCCCGAGCCCTTCTCTCCTCCCCGCACCTTCCTGCCCGTCGCGGCAGCGCAGGCCGGCGGCCGCGGGGATGGGCTGCGGAGGGTGCCCGAGGTCCCGGCGTGGCGGAGCTGACGGGTCCCGCTCCCCATCCCCATCCCCGGGGACCGCCCGCTCCCACCGCTTTGCTCCAGCCTTTCTGAGGCGGCGAGGGGGGAGAAGGGGTGAAGTAAACGGCCGCCTCGGGCGCCGGTAGCAGAACTGACCTGTTGCACGCTGCTTCCATCCGAGACCTCGGGGAGGATGGAGAGGAGCCGGGGCAGCCGGCGGCAGCTCTAACGGGCAGCCCCGGGAGGAGAGCGGCGGCGACCTTCAGATCCCAGCCTCTGGGAAACTCATTGGGAGCCCCGGTTCCTGACAGCCGGAGCTTGGCGGGTCATGTGCAGGCAAACTGCAACCGATCCCAGCCCAGTGTTGTTTTCACCTTCCCCAGCGCTTTAACCCTTGGGGGCTCGCCCCGCCGGCAGCCACCTGCCCGGTGCAGCCCCGCGGACCGGGGGTGAGCGGGCTGCTGCTGCTGCCGCCGCCTTCTCCTTCCCTCCCGGCTGCAGGGAGCGAAGGAGCGGCTCTGAGGCCGTGGGGAGCACGGCTCTGAGGCCGTGGGGAGCACGGCCCTCCAGCCGGAGCCGCAGCAACCGCGTCTGGGCGCCTGGCATCGGCACTCGCGGCTTTAAATCCGCCGGCACCCGCGGTGCGCGGCGCGGTGCGGGCGTGCCGCCCTTCGCCCCGCTGACAAATCGCCGCTGCCTGGCCCTTCCCCTGGCTGGAGGGGTCGCAGCTATTTGCCAGCCGCCCTTGGGCCCTCGCCAAGCGGAGCGGCTGAGCCGCGGATGCTTTTATGGCCGGGGCCGAAAGTTTTGGCGGAGGAGGTGCCGGGAGGGGAGCGGGGTGGCGGGCGGGCTCGCAGCCCTCGCTGGCGGGAGGCAAAGGCTCGCCTGCATCTTGGGGGCTGAGGAAGCCGGAGAGCTTCCCCTCCTCCGCCTGTCGCCTCCCCGTTGCGTGCGGAGTTTGCATTGCGTGAGCCGGGGCTGGAAAGCCTCCAGCCATCTCCTCCCCGGGCCCCTACCCCTCCTCGCAATACCTGACACCGGCTCGGGGCGGGGGAAGGAGGCAGGGTAGCGCCGGGCAGCTCGTACCCCGTCCGGCCCCGCTGCCCTCCAGCCTCCCCCCCTCCCTGCTCTCGCTTCTCTTCCGCTCACGGCGTTTTTTAACGCTTAAATCTGGCACCTCCGTCTGCCCCGGGGGGGCTGGCGAGGGGCGTGTGGTGCTCCAAACCCCCTTTCCCCTCCTCCCCCCCTGGCGCCCTGCGGGGGGGGGGGGGGGGGACCGGGGCTGCAAAGCCCCCAGGCATCATCAAGGAAATCGTTCTCCAGGAAATCGGAACGCTCGTGCTTTGTTGTCATCGTTTTTGCTGTACCAAGCAAAATTTTTAAATGCAACATTTATTTCAGATTCTCTACAGTCATGTCGTGAGAAGAAAAGAAGGTGTTTTGGTAGCATTTAGGGATTAGACAAAATTAGATGCTGCGAGTCAGCCCAACTGAGGGTGTGAAGCCAGGCCTGGCCGTGCTGCTACTGCTTCTGTCTTTGCTAAGAAGTGTAATCCCGGCTGCTGTCACTGTCCCGGGCTCATCCAGTCAGCAGTACCACCTCTTGCTGAGACTAGCATCAGCCCTATCCCTCTGCGTGCCTCGGCACACACTGTGCTTCTTCCTGCCATCGCCGATTGACAGAGGTGTCAAACCCACTCTTTCTGAGCAGTGCCAGAAAAAGTGAGCCTCCCTCTTCCTAGCCCCATCTCTGGGGTGAACTGAAAGGATCCTGCTGTCCGGCCCAGCAAATGGCCCTGCTTCAGAGAGAAGCAAAAATAGCTCCATCCCTATGGCATTAAGGTTAGGGCAAGCTTAGAGAGAGACTAGGAGCTCTGATCTCTGCGTCAGAAGGTTGAGACCGAATTTCACATGCTGTAAGCACTCAGCTGTGGTGAAGTGGCCTGTCCCAGGATGATGGCCACCCTCCCCTCCTTCATTGGTCACACGTCAAAGAAAAGGCAGGGGCTTTTCCCTGCAAAGTGTTCTGGACGCTGGATGTGGGAGGTGGGGACTGGCCTGGATCAGTTAGCTGAGCTGTGGATTCTAGTGCTGGGCATTTGCCATAACCAGCAGGTAAATTTGCCTTTTTCCTGGTGACTGTGGTAATCAGTTACCTAAAACGCAGGCAAAACCAGCTCTTGTTAGTAAGTCCCCAAGTCCTTTCTTCAATGCAGCACTTAAACTAGTTGTGTTGCAGTTAATGTGAGAGATTGCCATTTACTTTGGAGCAAGCAGAACAGATTCCATTCCAGTTCCCACGTAAATCTGAATTTATAGCGTCCTCAGGGTGGCCAAACTCTGGTTGCAGTTGGTAAGAGGCAGAGCCCCTCAGCATGGGGCTGTGGGCAGTGACATGCTGTGCCATTTCTTACCTCTGCTGCAAGCGGCCCTGCACCCGCCTCACTGATTCGTACCCGTTCAGGGAGTGAGTACGAGTCCAACTCACTGTATGCTCTGCACCCTACTGACATTTTTTCTCAACATCATCCCACAGGTGGGATTGCCTCCTGCCCACAAGCTGCAGATTCACAATTTAAGACACGAGCACAGGAGTTACAAGTCCTGGTACTTTTTTTTTTTTTTTTTTTTTTTGTTTAATGCTGTAAGAAAATGTTTGTTTATTTTTGCCACTTCTCTTTGGTCTTCAGGAGTTCTGTCGCTGGTAGAGAGGAGAGAAAGAAATGTTTTGTTCTATTGTGATAGTACCAGCTGGTCCCCCTGTACTATGTGCTGTACAACCAGGATATTTACAGCCTTGACTTACTATTGCATCTAATACAGCCTGAGTATTATTCTGACTGTATGCAATGAATGTTTACCCAATTTTCCAGGCTCTGTGTGACATTGAATAGTCCCTTAAAGTCAAGCATACCTTGGGTGAAGCATTTTCTCACACCAATGAATTAGTGTGGTACCAAATGCAGGCAATGGACGGCCAGGCCCTTGGTCTCTCTTATATTCCACAAATTGCCCTCTTGCCTACCTCTTTATTTACTCTTCTTACTTCTTTTGGTTCTAGAAGCATACAAGATCAGAACTGCTCTTAGATCATGCTTGTTTCTTTTTCCCAGTTCTGGGGATTTAACTCAGAAGCAGGTCTACTGAAGCCGGTCCCTAATTCCCGAGTCAAAGTTATTTCTCTTAGGCATCAAAGACTGAATCACTGAAAATGAACACCGCCTAAAATGAATTATTTCTGAGGCCTAGAAAAGTCTACTTGATGTAAAATACAGAAGAGAAAGGAGTTGAAGGGGCAAAAGTGGGTGGGTTTGTGATTAAGGGAAAGGACTTCGGGCCTAATCTGTGAAAAATCCTGAATAATTTGACAGGAGTGCCAGTTGCAGGAGGCTGGCAGAATCTGTGGGGTCATCAGTAGCTCTGCAACTCTGAATGAAGGTGCTTTATGTGAGTGGACAAGAGTCTTTGCTGTGGAGGGGAAAGTTTGATAAAGGAGGAGGAATTACACAACCTGGAGACCCTTCATTTGCCCATTGGGAGGAAATGTTTATCTCTGCCACAGTCCTCCCTTTTCCAAGAAAACCCCTTAACCCCAAAGAGATTTTTTTACAAGTGTTAGGAATTACTTACCTAAATAAGGTTTGCAGACTTGATTCTCAGATTTTCTTCTAACTACGGCAGCTGTTGGCTTCTCTTTGGGACACTGGCAAGATGCTCATAAATCCTCATGAGCAGCAACTGGAATTTCTCAAGGAGTTGACCTTGTCCTTGTCCCATTTTCTTTCCTTAGCTGTTCCTTTTGCAGATTTCCATGGAGAGCCCTCCCACACTGGGTTTCTCTGGGTCTTTCCCATACCTGGGACTATGTATCTTTTTCTCCTCTTAATTTTACAAATCTCGGATTATATGACAGTTGAGCAATGTTTCATACTGGGATTGTTTCAGTACAGAGCTTGTACAAATTGTTCAGTTTATGGAGTGATCCAAGCCATTCTTCATTAAATAATCCCTTGGAAATAATGTTTCTGATTGTCTGTTTCTGAGTGTTGCACAATACTATATGAGATGAAGAAACAAGTAGTGTAACTGTAAGACACAAATCACTTGGAAACTTAAACAAATGCAATATCCTGTTGTTTCAGGCTGCTTAAAATTGTGCAGGCATTCTTACATACCTCTGGAGTTTGACTCTAGGCTCAACAATGCTGCTGTAAGTCAGGAAAATCACCATTAAAACAATCAGATTACAATCAGTATTAGAACCTGTAAGCCTCAACGTTTACAACAGCTCGCTCGGCTTATGTTCACGCTGCAATCTGGCACGATGCAGAGTTATCACTATGCTTCAGGTAGTTTTGGATCCAGGAGCAGAAGATCTGGTCCAGACACAATGCCACCCCGGGGCAGCCGGCTCCGCAGCCACCGTCTGCGCTTGCTGCTCTGCACCACATAGATGTGCCTGCTTGCTTGGGTTTATCTACGCGATACTGAGTGGCTCAGTGTTAAAACTCACCCGAGATGGAGGCACCACACGTATGGATGGTAATGAGATGGTGTCCGATGCAGGATCCTGGTTTTGCTCAGTTTGGAAGCTTTCTTGTCATTCTAAGCTTGAAATGCAAGCAAAATATAAGGACCCACAACCTCAGGGCTACTGCACAGAGTGCCAGGCATACATAGGAGCCAGATGCAGCTTCATGATTCAGGGTTATTTATTTAGGCCACTAACTGTGAGCTAAAATAAAGCATTTGTGGTATGCTCTTTAAAGCATATGTATTTGTGTTTACATATTGCATTCTTAACCTTCATTAACTTGCAGATTTCCTTGGACTTTCACTCTTCCCTGCATTCCCACTGGCTTCCCAGCTCACATTTTCAATCGTCCCTTGTTATTGAAAAGCCTAATCTGGCTCCTAATTCTAAACCAAATTCCCCTAGCTGTTGTGGGAAGGCAAGAAACTTCCCAGTACTTTCTGGGGCTCAGCTCAGTGCTCCTCTGAATTGTAGCCTCTCCATCTGTTTGCATTTTCCATGTTACTTGCCAATTAAAGGCATACATTGTGGTCTGCTTCCACACAGGTAACACACAGGTGACTACAGAAATGAGGACATAGCATTATACTTAACTCAGGCATCAAACTTGATTATGAAACTGTTTTAATTTTGCATTGCTGAATTCCTATGGTATTTCTTTCTAAAGTTTGCTGTCTTTTCTTGACATTATTAGATGGAACCACATAGCTAAGTCTTTCCTGACAGGAAAAAAACAGAGCTGATGCCTTTGTGGCTACCTTTTGAGAAGCCTTTTTAAACTGCCTTTTGCTATGAGTCAAAAGAGCAAAACCTAATTTACACACTGTTGGGTACTCACCCATGGTGGTTTGTGTGTGTCTTTGTATTTATACTATACAAATGCTCTTTATTAAATTACTCTGAAAGAAGTACTCTGAAGAAGATGGATGAAATGACATCATTTAGGAAAGTTTAGACACTGCTCAAAATGTGCATTATTGTATCTGTCCTCAACATGCGTTGTGTGAGCAAACTGTTCCTGCTCACTCTCCCTCTTTAGCAGAAGGGCTCCCTGGGGCACCTGGAAGCTTTGCATCCTCACACTGTTTCTGAGGTTTGCAGCACCAAGAGGTGCGTTGGCCAAGGACCATCTTTATTTTGAAGTATAGGAACCTTATAGCCTGGGTGATGTGGTAGGTCACTCCAAAGCTTAAAAATGATAACATTGCTCAAGGCCAGTGTTGTTGACATGTTAATAAGCTGTAATATTATATTTCTCATTTGTTTTCCAGACTTTGTTTGGTGTTGTATTAGTAGTGGCGATACAAAGTTTGCAGTGCAATTGCTTTAGTTACTCTAAGATTTTAGTATTTGCCATTTTGGAAAATGCCAATGCACCTGTATGCTCAGCGTAGTGATGGATGCTAACTCAAAACAGCCCTGGGCTACATCTGAAAGCAAAGTCTACTTCACTCACAGGCAGAGGCGTTTTCTGGAGGGGTGAGGGTTTTGAAGATTTACCCGTGAAGTCTTACAAAGTCTTTACTACAGATGTACAAAATATAATTTTTCAGAGTTTGGAAATTTGTCCAAATCAGAGTAAATTATCAAAGGAAGAGCAGAAGGCACAAATGTGGGAGAAAAGACATTACCCAGGTGAATGCCACGTCCCCGCTTTAGAGCTTGAGGCTACAAAGCTTTTCAGAGAAAGAGCCACTGTGTTTTGATATGAACACTTAACTTTCCTTATTCTCGTAAACAGATTCAACTGGTTTTGGACTGAACGTTTCTAAAAATTACAATGTAAAATATGGATTTGGGGGGGGGGATAGAAGATTTCAAACCAGGTGATTAAACTTGGACAAAGTTTTAAGTAGTGGAGGACCTGGAGTTTCCAGCTAAGGGAACTCCGTGCAAGTAGACACCATGACTCTTGTGCACAGAGAGAGAAGATAGTGAAGCACAGATGGAATGAAGAACCTTACAGTTTTTTGGTGAGAACATGGGTCTTCCTATCTTGTGTCCTGGGTGTCCTAGCCATTAGCCCAGGCTGTGGATGTTCAGCTGCCATTGAACCACTTCTCAAGCAATAATTGCCCATGATACAAATATTGGTCATTTCAGTTCTTCTGTTTGTATTGCATGTGTACCATTCTTTGGTGCCTTGACAGCAGAACAGCTCATCAAAATGTTAAAATAGACAACTTGATTTGAATCTAGTAGTGTCTAGAGCAATCCAAGTTGAATTTCAGAATTCTCCTTCCGTTGGAAAATAAACCTGGTTACGTAGTGGGGGGTGCAGGTCTGATCTAGGTAAGGGAGCTGCACAGAGGTGTCAGCATTACTTTGTCCCCTGTTATGATACCTCCAGTCCTGCTGCTTAAGGGGCTTCTTGGACTGGGATGCAACATCGAATACTTCAGAAAGTGATGCCAGGGGTCTAGTACAGTGTGTGTACATACATATGTGTGTGTGTGTATATATATATATATATATATATACACACACATTCTGTTTTGGAGTTGGATGATCACTATTGATGAAGCATAGTGTCAAGTGCAAAAGGCAGGACTTGGCTACCTGTGCTCATCGGGTGTTTCTGCAGGGCTGGCAGTATGTGTCTCCATTCTTTGGACTGCAGTTCTAACTTCTGAAGAGCCCGTTTGGCTTACCTGCACGTTCAAGTGGATACACCAGATTTGTTTGAGCTATTAGGCTTGGACTCCAGAGGGTCTGGGGTAATTTCTTGTCCAAAAGATTGAAATTTTATAATGGGAAGTTTTCAGTGTTTTAAAAAAATATTATCCTTAGTACTGCTCCTTTCAGGTTTTCAGATGCTCTCAGAGAGGAGGTGATGCAGGACACAAACTGATTGTTGAGATGGCAGCTGAACTAAACAGGAACACAATAATTTGTATATCACGAGGGCTTTCCCTAGCTTTTAATCATGAAGAGACAGGCCTTTAGCTGGGATTTCCCAAAGCCGATTCATGTCACGGACCTAAGAAATTTCACGTCAGTCAAGAAGTTGCTTGTAAACGTCAACTCTGAGATAGCCCTACTCAAATGAGCCAGGGAACATGCTCACCCTCTTTCTCCCTTCCATTACTGCAGGTCAATAAAGTGTTGAATAGTATTTGTGGAGAATCTATCACTGCAGAGTGATAGATTTTCCACCAGAAACAGTGGTTCTGGCTGCATTGGCTTTGCTAAAGTATCCTGTCAGATGGAAATGCATGACTCCAAACCAGGACCTTCAGTAATTTGGCTGCTGAAGCTCCTCTGAGGAAACATTTGCACATCCCTCTGCAGCGTGGCATTCTTGGCTTCCTCTGCTCTGTTGTGCAAGGGTTTGGTGTATTTGCCTCCAGCGGTAACTGCATTTCAGTGGTAAATGAAGTGACTCAAATACTAGGACTGGGATGTATGCGGATAATACTCTAGCCTATAAAATTATTCATGCTCTTCCCTGGGGTATGGGAAACAAGAGTTGTTTATTTGCACATTTTTTAATTTGAATAAAGACTTGGATAAAGTGTATTCAAACCAAGGGGAAAAGGGAAACTCCCTTTGTGGTATCAGTGGTCAGTGATGGAAAACTGAGCTCAGGAGATTTTTACAGTATTCCAATGTAAGGGCTGCAATCTTGATCAAGGCAGTTGACTTTTCCTGTAAGACAAATAATAATAATAAACATTTCCTATAGCCCTCAGTAAATTCATCAGGGAGAGAAAAGACTCTTGACACATAAAGATTGCTGCTAGCGTTTGGAAGCAAACCCAAGGAAGTGTCTGTTCCTGAGCCATTCAGGTCTCTAACCTTCAGCAGTGGCAGATCAAAGACCATGAGGGAAACAGACTGCAGGTGCCAGTCAGGGCAGGTTTCGTCTTGTCACAGCACTCCGGGAAGAGGCATTTGCTAATGTCTGTTAATCTCATGGCACGCCAAGGGAGAAAGACAGAAAAGAAATTGCCATAAATTCTTCCCTTTCCCAAGCAGCCCACACCCAGGCTCGGTCGGGGAATGAGGGGTGAAGCGGCCGCAGAAGCAGCGTCACACCGGAGGTTCACCCTCATGGCAAAGGCAAAAGCAACGGTAGCTGAGACCATGAGAGCAAAGGTCTCCCGAAGGAGAAAGCCCAAAGTCTGCCTTGGCCGCTGAGCTCTCCCACGGAAGCGCTCTCATCCTGCGGTCAAGGAGGAAGCGTGGAACGCTGCGCGGCACCGTGGGGAAGAGGTGGCAGCCGTGGAGGTAACAGGGTGCTTTTCCAGATGCGGGGAGAAGGCAGGATTAGGCACAGCTTGGGGCTCTCTAGGGGCTGGCTTTGGCCAAAGGCCAGGTTTGGCCCTGTCTTTCTTTTGAGGTGTAAATGGCATGCAAGCAGGCTCCTCTCAGTGGCTTCCCTGTGAAGATAAATAACCCGATCCCCTGGTTATTATCCCCCTGCTCTCCTCCCCTTCCCCCTGACTGACTTTGATTATTGTAACTTTACAT